CACTTTGATGGCGGGTGCGCCGAGCAAACCTCTCGCGCAGCTGAAGTGGAGAGAGGCTCACGCCGTGACGAGGCACCCATAAGAACTCCAACAAACACAGTACCTCTAGGCTCAACACCCCTAGACTCAGAACCCCCTGGCTCCGCACACTCAGGCTCATCACCCCCAGGCTCTGCACCCTCAGACTCAGCAACCCCAGGGCTCAGCAACCCCAGGCTCCGCACGCTCAAGCTCAGCACTCTTAGGCTCAGCAACCCCATGCTTAGCACTCAGGCTCAGCACCCCCAGACGCTGCACCCCTAGCAGCACCCCTAGCAGCACCCTCCCAGCAGCACTAGAGTCGACAGCTACCTCGACAGGCTCAGCCAGGGGGAGTGGGTCTACCTGAGACACACTTGAGGGAGCCGGACCCTGAAGGGGGAGGGCGTCTATCGGAGGAGGACCTGGTGCGAGGAAGAGCGGCGAGGGGGGGGGGGGGGGATGAGAGGGGCAGTGCGGTAGGGGAAGAGACGGAAAAAGGGAACTGACTCATCAAACGTGCCCCACCAACTGTCAAGCAGCAGATATACTCACCAAACCCCTCCTTTTAAGCGACATGGTGTGTGCATGTCCTTGATGGGGATGCAGCCCCATGTCAGCATGGTGCCTGAGCAGGATGTGGGAGGACTGGTGCTTTTCTGCATTGACGACCTCATGCTGTGGATGGCTCCCTTCCCTGGGCAAGGGGGAGTGAAGTGAAGGATTTTGCACAGTGGTGTTCAGCCACCTCCACCACGAGCAAGGGGGAGTGTTGATTGTGTAGGTGGTTGTGGTATTTTGCTCTAGCTGGTTGTGGGCTAAGGGTTAGGGCAAAATGTGGTGGTTAGACTTGTTGCGGGCTGGTATTGATCTCGCACCCAACAAGCACCAACAAACCTTTGCTATTCACTACAACACCTTTGGTGTTGCTATTTTAGCACTTTGGGTTGTTGGGGATTGATGTAGGGTGAGGGTTGGGCTGGTAGGGTTTGAACAACTCGTCACTTTTCAGATCTGAACTCTTGCTAAAGCCACTTTCTTGAACTAATCCATGGCTGCCTAGTAATTCCGCCAGGATACACCGTTGCACTTAGATCGCGATAGCGATCGGCCTAGATCTTTGTTGAAAGCGTGCGTTACCATTCTGGAAAGTAGAGATTAAGACCTTTCTAACGCGTACCTGCTCATAGTTTAAGATTACGTGAGCTGCACGCAATGTTCCGTCGAAGTCGGCGGACTTAATCTCTTGTACGCTCTCCAGATTCGCTCGCTTTCCATCAAGAGGTTGGCGATGCGTCGCGTTTCCGAGTCTGGGGTGCTCGTGCCCTTGTCCGCGATACGTCTCCGGACAAGCTCTCCTCCCGCACCATTCCCTTTGTCTTCCTTGGCTTTGTCCCTGACGCGTCTGGCTGGCAGTTTTACCACCCCACCTCTCGCCGTATCTTCCCTTTTCAGGACGTCACCTTAGACGAGTCGCTTCCTTTCTACTGTCTCTTCCCCTACTGCACTGCCCCTCTTCCTCCGCCGCCGCTTTTTCTCGCTCCAGGTCCCCCTTCGGTAGACCCCCTCCCCCCCTCAGGGTCCGGCTCCTTCAGGTGTGTCTCAGGTAGACCCACTCCCTTTGGCTGAGCCTCTGGAGGTCACTTCCGACACCTCTGGCCTAGCTGAGGGGGGTGACGTTGCTGCTGATGCCCCGGCGGCCTACTGGCGCACACCACGCTTGGATACCGCTACGGGTTTCCCGCCGTGACCTTCTTCGCCGCCTCTGCAGCCGGCTACTGCTGACTCTGGTGCTGCTGGGGGTGGTGCTACTCGGGGTGTTTCGTCTGGGGGTGTTGAGCCTGTGCGTGAGGTGCTGGGAGGTTTGGAGCCTGAGGGTGCTGAGCCTATGATTGCGGAGCCTAAGGGTGCTGAGCTGGAGGGTGCCGGGTCGGGGGGTGCTGAGTCAGCCGGCGTTCCTATGGGTCGTGCTGCTAGGACTAGAGGTCCTGCTGCTGGGGGTGCTGGTGCCGGAGGTAATGGGGTTGGAGGCCCTGGAGCTAGTGCTATCGACCCTGGAGTTGGAGGCCCTGCGGTCCCCCCTCCGCTGCTCACCACGCTTGGCGACCCCTTCGGGTTTTCCACCTTCACCGTCTTTGGCACGCACCTCATAGCCCTTCGTCCTTCCACTGCTCCACAGCGTGTTCCCCTGCCGTTCCCTCCTGCGTCTTCTCTGCCTGACGTTCCGGACACTGAGTCTGACCGGTTTCATGCCGCACACCCTACTGTCACGCGTCTGTTAGCCACTGTTATGACTGACCCGCTGTTTGAGTCTGCTGCTGCATGTGCCTTAGTCACTGAGCTTGTTGACTTTGCTGATGCCTATCATCTTGACTACGCCACCAGTCTTGTTGCTGAGTCTGAGTCTGTCTGTCCTCCGTTTGTCGGGGGCGAGTGTGCTCTTGGCACGGACGTCCTTGAGGACAGGCAGGAGGACCTTGAATGTCTTGCAGCGACTGCGCCTCATCTCGTGGCCATGCTGCTTGCCCCTGAGGGAGACCCGGATGCACCTGACATCCCAACCCCGCGCTCTTACGTTGAGGCGATTACGGGTCCCTACTCATCTCAGTGGCAGACAGCCATGGATGCAGAGATGGCATCTTGGAAGTCCACAGGCACGTACATCGATGAGGTTCCCCCTCCCGGGGCGAACATCGTCGATGGCATGTGGATTTTCAGGGTGAAGCGGCCGCCGGGTTCTCCGCCTGTCTTCAAGGCTTGTTACGTTGCTCGAGGCTTCAGTCAGCGGAAGGGTGTCGACTTCTTTCAGACCTTTTCCCCCACCCCGAAGATGACCACTCTTTGGGTGCTGCTGCACGTTGCCGCTCACCGTGACTACGAGCTTCACTCTCTTGACTTCAGCACAGCCTTCTTACAAGGCAGCCTGCACGAGGAGATCTGGCTGCGCCACCCACCTGGCTTCACTGGGTCGTTTCCTCCCGGTACCCAGTGGAGCCTCTCGCAGCCAGTCTACGGTCTCCGCCAGGCGCCTCATGAGTGGCACGACACACTAAGGACTACAATTGCGGCTCTTGGGTTTGCTTCTTCGACTGCTGACCCGTGGCTGTTTCTGCACGCCAACACTTCGCTGCCGCCGTTCTACATCCTCGTGTACGTCGACGACTTGGTCTTTGCCACTGCTGAAACTGAGGCTCTCGCCCTGGTGAAGTCGGAGCTGAAGAAGAGACACACGTGCACAGACCTGGGTGAGCTGCGCAGCTACCTTGGCTTGCAGATCACCTGGGACAGAGCACGCCACACCATCACACTAACTCAGTCACACATGGTACAGCAGGTCCTTCAGCGCTTCGGCTTCACCTGGTCCTTGGCACAGTCCACTTCTCTGGCAACAAGTCACTCGCTCTCAGCTCCACCTTTAGACGAGTCCGTAGAGCCGAGTGGTCCTTACCCAGAGCTAGTGGGTTGCCTCATGTACCTGATGACCTGTACTCGTCCTGGCCTTGCATACCCTCTTGGCCTTCTGGCTCGCTACGTGGCTCCTGGCCGGCACCGAAAGGTGCACATGGATGCTGCTAAGAGGGTACTTCGCTACTTATGCAGCACATGGGGCATGGGGCTTGTGCTTGGAGGACGGGGCAACGTTGTCCTCACTGGGCACTCAGACGCTTCTTGGGTTGACGACCAGGCTACGCAGCGGTCGTCACAGGGTTACACCTTCAGCCTTGGCTCTTGTTCAGTTTCTTGGCGTTCTACACGCTCGTCTTCTGTTCTCAGCTCCAGCTGTGATGCTGAGATCTACGCCACAGCCATGGCTTCACAGGAGTTACGCTGGCTCACCTACCTGCTGATGGACTTGGGAGAGCGGCCTCGTTCTCCTCTAGTGCTGTACGTCGACAAGAAGGCGGCCATTGCCTTGTGTGAGGAGCACAGACTGGAGCACAAAATGAAGCACATCGCTCTGCGTTACTTCCTGGCTCGAGAGTTGCAGCAGCGAGGTCAGCTACGTCTTGCTCACGTGGCCACTCGGGCCAACACTGCTGATATATTTACCAAGGCACTTCCATCTGGTGATCATCAGCGCTTTTGTACTTTGTTAGGCCTTGTGCCTATGTTTTGTACTTGCTGTAGACTTTGCTTGTACTGTGATCTATATATATACCTGCATGCTTGCTTTTTCTAGGTAGTGATCACTGTACTGTTATTGCTGCATATATACCTCTGCATGTGAACTGGCCTTGTGGCCCTTTGCTTGTGCTCAATGTGTGTGGTGACGTTGTGATACACCCTTGCTTGCTTTGCTTTACTTGACTGGTCTTGTGACCCCTTGCTCTCCCCCACTTTGCCTATGGGGGTGTGTCAAATTATATATGTGTTGTATATTTGTAGGCTGTAGTGGGGTAGCAAATGTGGGGTATAGCCCCTCTAGGGTTTTATACTTGTACCCAACTTTCATCTAGTTCATTCACTTCTGCTTGCTATCTTGACAATTCTAACGGTGAATTTCTGGTCGACGACGTTTCTTGTGAAGTCGACGATTCTGTCAAGAAATTGAGACCAGCGTTTCTGTGTTATTTCGACGCCTAATTTTCATAGACTCCGTCCTTAATCTTTAATTGTCATGTTTTGCCATTCTCCTTTGCAGCACTCCAATATCACTCAATGAACGTAGGTACTGGTATGGCTTGCTCTCACCTCATGCATGGTGTTTGCCAAAATCTTTCCGCATCTTTTACCAGTACTGTATGGTATGTGCCTGCATTTGTCACCTGAGAGTGTAGATTCCTTGTGTGCTTCTTGCGTCTCCCATTTACCGTACTTTATAATGGTACCGTAATTGGTTATTGCATCAAAGTTTCCGAGAACTAATAAACTTTTGTATCGCTACCACGTAACACTCTACTGTCTGGCAGTACTGTTATTCACATTCTGAACTTCTAGCTCCATGCTATGCACCGCCCACATGCTGTCATTGTGTGGCAAACTTAACGCCCTTTGGCTGGCTTCAAATGCAGCCAACCCCTGAAGCCATCACCTATCGAGCCAATGTGCATGAATGAGCTCACACCAGACTGTGAGCCATCAGACCTCTCACGCTTCCTTGAAGAAACAACAGAAACATCCCTTGAAGACATACCGTCGCTGCTTGCACTCTCTTCCTTCGCACCACTCTCCCACTCGTCCTCCTTGTCGGGGCAGTGCTTGGCAATGAGGGCACTGAGGCGGTATGCCACATCCTTCATGGTGGGTCGTCGTGTGCCGGGAGACTTGATGTAGTCCAGAGCCAGGTCTGCAAAGTCCACTATCGCCTCCTTGCCGCCGACATCTTGCTGTCCCTCAGCCCCTCTAGCTCATACGCCTCCACCAGCTTTATTGCCTGGAGGGCATGCCCGCAAGGAAGGGTGATGATGGGAGAGGCAGTACTAAGCAACATGATAAGCACGACAGGTGATGGAAGGCAGCATGAGAGCAACGAAAGGTCATGAAAAGTAACATGCAAGGGAAATAAGGAGAATGCAAGGCCATTGAATAATGAGGTCAGTCACGGATTTGAGTTATCGCAGCTTTTTTCGTATTTTTGTTTTATTGCAAATTAATAAACTTGACGAGCATACCCATAAGCTTATATGAGTTATATGCGTTTTTGTGTCGACTCGGGGTGGCTTTCCACTCAACAACTCAAGGAGCACAATTCCAAAGCTGCCAGGAATCATGCATTGGAGAAATAGGAACAAACATGGCAGAAAATGGAGAGGCACAGGGTACAACTATTGAACATAACCTGGAAAAAAAAAAATCAACAAGGCTGCACAAGTATAACATGCTGTACAAAGGAACAAGCTTGCATGCTGACCTGAACACATCACTCTTGGCCGTGATGAGGTTTGTGCGGTTGTAGTCCGGATCCACATAGCCCGGAGTGCTGGCCACCCGAGTGGCATCAGCATCAGCGTGAGTGAGGCGCTTGAGCAGCCCAAAGTCAGCCACCTTGGCTTGCATGTCGGCAGTCACAAGGATGTTCGCTGGCTTAATGTCGCGGTGAACGATGGGAGTGTCAAACCCATGCAGGTATGCCAGGCCCTCTGCTGCTCCCTGTGCAAGGCGCAGCCTCTGGCGTAGCGAGAGCGGATCTGGGTCATGAAACACGAATACCGAACACAGCACATAAATGTACGAGTGCCTCTGCAGGAAAAGCAAATGACTGGCAACCATTTTGCCATCATGCTAGTGCAACTCACTATCGGTGGCATGGATGTGGTAGTGCAACTCACTATCGGTGGCATGGATGTGGTAGTGCAACTCACTATCGGTGGCATGGATGTGGTAGTGCAACTCACTATCGGTGGCATGGATGTGGTACTGTAGGTCCCTGTTGGCCATGAACTCGTAAACGAGGATCTACTTTTGCTTGGCCGTCTCCATGTTCTGGTCCAGGCAAAAGCCCAGCAGGCACACAAGGTGTGTGTGGTGGAGAGACGCCATGGCTCGTACCTGCAACATGGGCATGGAGCGCAATGCAGGAAGATAGCCATGGGCATAGACAGGCAAGCAATGAATTGCAGGTAAGCAATTTGGAAAACGTAGAGTAACGTATTCTCGCAAGGCGAAATGCAGTGGATTAGACGCTTGATGATGGTGCCTGACCTCCGTTTCAAAGTCGTTGGTCATGATGGTGGATCGCTTGATGGCCCACAGCTGGCCCTGTGGCGAGCGGCCTTTGTAGACAACGCCAAAGCCACCCTTGCCCAGCACATTGTCCTCGGACCAGTTGTTGGTGGCACTCAGCATCTACTGCAGCAAGAACTGCTCACACACATCCAAACCCTCCCATTTCTCTGTGCGCACACAATGCGCCAGACAAGAGGAGTGAGGGAACTGAAGGTGTACACGAGGGAGAGGGCATGAAGGCAGTGGAGGGGCAGATTTTTAGTGCACGGATTTGGGAGAGGTGGGGAGCAGGAAGGAAGGCAGGAAATAGGTGGAGCAATGGGGGAGATGGAATAGAACTGAAGAAGGGTTGAGGGGCTCACTTGGTCCGTGGGGCCACAGCATCCATGCGAGCACTGCAGCTAGCAGCGTGAAGCCAGCAAAGCCGCCCAGAACAATTGTTACTATGGCACCCGTAGACAGAGATGACACAGCCGAGGAATGGACACGGGGCGGTGATAAACGTGTGTATCGCAGAAGCCTCATGAAACGTGGTTATTGTTGCAGAATATAGCAATGAGGCAGTGCTGTGGAGCTGTAAGAATGAAGCAAGGGTTACCAGTGGTGGTGTAGGTGGTGGAGTGCACGATGGCGCATGTGGAGGAGCCGTTGCCCGAGTCAACAGTGGTGTACCCCGCATCGCAGAGGCACGTGAAGTTGGTGGGGGAGGCGGGGGCAAGCGGCACACATGCCCCGTAGCCGTCACACGGGCCGATGGCAGTGATGCTGCAGAATGCCTGGCAGGCTGCCGTGCTGCGCTGGGTGGCGTTGGACACACACTTCTTGTTCGGGGTGAGCGTCAGGCAGTTGCCCGACAGGGCCACCCTTGCCCTCTTGCTTGGCTCCACCACGGAAAAGCCTTGAGCGACATTGCCGCACTTGCCACCATAGATTCGCCATGCAGTGGTGTCCCACATGCCGTTGTTGTTTAGCTCGTTGACCTCGGTGAGGTAGACCTTGCAGCCCGCAGCAATGAGCGCCCCGTCACCAAAGAAGAAGTGGCGAGCCAGGTTGATGAGCGCATTGCCATTCACCATTATGTTCTCAAAGTCGCGGTTGATGCACCCATACAGGCTGTTGCCACTCACATCACTCCGGGAAGCATAGAGGAATCACGGAGGGTAGAAGATGATATTGAGTATTTGGTCGGAGCTGATATTGAGGCAAACCTAAGTCAGATAATGAAGTTCGTGCAATGCCTATGTTGAGGGTGCGAGATGTCATGGATGGTACTGAGAATAGAGTATGCATGGTTGGCTCACATTTCGTTGATGCACTTCTCAAAGAGGTAGTCTAGCAGAGGTCCGTAGAGGTAGTTGTTGCTAACCATGCTGCCAGCAGCACAGCACATACCATGCCGCATCGTAAGACACACACCCATACAGAAAAGGGAAACACACAAAAGCGAAACTACCTAAGACATTCTAACAATCTCCAAAATAAAGGAAGCAGGAGAGAAGTAAATCCCGGCGGATAAAATTCTAAAAAACAAAACAAATAATAAGTGTATGACTGCCACTCACGGGCGCCACAGCCAGCGAAGTGAGCACAGGCCAGTTGGCAGAGGGCCTTCAATCTTGTTGTTGTCCAACCAGCTGTGGTGACAAGAAGAGCATTGGCAGGATCAAAGGCGGCAACAATTGCATAAAGAGAAGGGGGTGGAGTGGGGATGGCGCAGGTGATGCTTGCGTGTTTTGGTCTCATGTGTTCATTTCATGGTGTGGAAGTTGCTAGATCTCTTGTGGTAACGATTCATTACAAGCTTGTGCTTGTGATGCCTGTGCTTGCTTCTTAAGCTACCACTATTCTCGAAAAATGGAAAGGACGAAGGCACATAGCACGCTCTCATCTGTTCGAGATTCTCCTGTTGGCTGATGGCATCCGGCAGACTGCCACTCAGATTGTTGTTGGCCAAGTAGCTACCGGGCAATGGCAATGGCAACGGCAACGGCAACGGCAACCGCAATGGCAACGGCAATGGCAACCGCAACGGCAATGGCAACGGCAACGGCAATGGCAATGGCAACGGCAATGGCAATGGCAACGGCAACGGCAATGGCAACCGCAACGGCAATGGCAATGGCAATGGCAACGGCAACGGCAATGGCAACAGCAACGGCAATGGCAATGGCAATGGCAATGGCAATGGCAACGGCAACGGCAATGGCAATGGCAATGGCAACGGCAATGGCAATGGCAACGGCAACGGCAATGGCAACGGCAATGGCAATGGCAATGGCAACAGCGGCGGCAATGGCAATGACAACGGCAATGGCAATGGCAATGGCAACAGCAATGGCAACGGCAATGGCAACGGCAATGGCAATGGCAACGGCAATGGCAACGGAAATGGCAATGGCAACGGCAATGGCAACGACAACGGCAATGTCAATGGAAATGGCAATGGCAATGGCAATGGCAACGGCAATGGCAATGGCAATGGCAATGTCAAAGGCAATGGCAATGGCAATGGCAATGGCAACGGCAATGGCAATGGCAATGGCAATGACATTGGCAATGGCAATGGCAACAGCAACGGCAACGGCAATGGCAACCGCAACGGCAATGGAGCGCTGAAGGACCTGCTGCACCATGTGTGACTGAGTCAGGGTAATGGTGCGGCGTGCTCTATCCGGGGTGATCTGAAAGCCAAGGTAGCTGCGCAGTTCGCCCAGGTCTGTGCACGTGTGTCTCTTCTACAGCTCAGACTTCACTTGGGCGAGTCCAGCAGTGTCAGCTGTGGCAAAGACTAAGTCGTCGACGTACACGAGGATGTAGAACGGCGGCAAAGAAGTGTCGGTGCGCAGAAACAGCGACGGGTCGGCAGTAGATGGAGCAAACCCAAGAGCTGCAAGCGTAGTTCTCAGTGTGTCGTGCCACTCACATGGTGCCTGGCGCAGACCGTAGACTGGCCGCCGGAGGCTCCACTAGGTGCCAGGAGGAAAAGTCCAAGTGAAGCCAAGTGGGCGGCGCAGCCAGATCTCCTCGTGCAGGCTGCCCTGCAAGAAAGCAGTGCTGAAGTCAAGAGAGTGTAGCTCGTAGTCACGGTGACCAGCTGTGTGCAGCAGTACCCGTAGAGTGGTCATCTTCGGGGTGGGAGAGAAGGTTTGAAAGTAATCAACTCCCTGCTGCTGACTGAAGCCACGAGCCGCGTAACGCGCCTTGAAGACAGGCGGAGAACCCGGCGGCCGCTTCACCCTGAAAATCCACATGCCACTGACGATGTTTGCCCCAGGCGGGGGAACCTCGTCATCGTAGGTGCTTGTGGACTTCCAGGAAGCCATCGCTGCGTCCATAGCTGCCTACCACTAAGAGGAGTAGGGACCCTCTATCGCCTCCGCGTAAGAGCGAATGGCAATGGCAATGGCAACGGCAACGGCAAAGGCAATGGCAACCACAACGGCAATGGCAATGGCAATGGCAATGCAAATGGCAATGGCAATGGCAACAGCAACGACAATGGCAATGGCAATGTCAATGGCAATGGCAATTGTGAGGATCTAGGATTGCGCTCAGAAAAGAGAATGAGAATTGAATCGAATTGAATGAATCACCTGGGTACAACACGAGGCTACTTAGTGATCACGTCGCTGACGATCGGCATACTGCTTCAGGGAGGTCTGCATCGTGGTGAGTCGTCGCTGAGTCTTCTCCCATAGATGCTACATGGTGGTGACGAAGTCATGTGCGGCTTGGACGTGTGCCGGTGTGGTTGGCTGTTGTGGTGTGAGTGGTTCCCGTCCATAACACAGGAAGAAAGGAGTTTTCCCCGTGGCCGCATGTGAGGCGTTGTTTTAAGCGAACTCTAGGGTCGGTAACTGTGTGTCCCAGTGGCTAACGTCGTCCTTGCAAGCTGTGCGTAGAAACTGTTCAGCCACTTGATTGAGTCGCTCTGTCTGTCCGTCAGTCTGGGGGTGGTATGCTGAAGACATTGCAAGCTTTGTCCCCAATAGTCCCATGAGCATCTTCCAGAACTTACTCGTTAATTTGGGGTCTCTGTTTGAGATGAGTGTAGCGGGGATGCCGTGGATGGTGATGATGTGGTCGAAGAAGAGGCGAGCAGTTGCTTCAGCTGTAGCTGTGGCGTTGGTCGGTATGAAGTGACCCATTTTGGAGAACTTATCGATGACTACGAGGATGGAATCGTGCCCCCGTGAGGTCGAAGGAAGTCCTGTGATAAAGTCGAGGCTAACGACCTGCCATGGCTGCTCCGGTACGAGTAGAGGCTGAAGTAACCCTTCTTTTTTCTGTTTGCTGCTCTTCATCCTTTGGCACGTGTCGCAAGAGGTGACAAACTGCTGCACGTCTGCTGCTATCCCGGGCCAGTAGTAATACTTCGCTATCCCTGCTAACGTCTTGTTGCTCCTAAAATGTCCCGCGTAAGGTACGTCGTGAAACTCCTCCAATAGGATCTGCTGTAGCGGGGCGTAATTCGGTACCCCCATCTTTCCTGAACCCTTCCTTATCGCTAGGTCTTTCTCCCACTGTAACAGCTTCTTGGTCAGTGCAGTAGCGATTTCTGCGTCCACGGAGTACCCATGTTGGAATAGACCCTTGGGCAGAGGGTTCATCCCGTCGAGCTGGATGCCTGCTACATGTCCGGGGCGGCTCAACGCGTCGGCCTTGTTGTGTAGCCCGGGCTTGTAGACGATGTCGTTGTGGAAGTGAGTTTCTAGGAAGTCCACCCACCGCACATGTCGTCGTGAGAGCGTCGGCTGCGACTTCAGGTATTTGAGACTGCAGTGGTCAGTATAGACTGTAGTCTTGGCTCCCTCTAGGTAACACCTCCACGCCTTGAAGGCTATGACTATCGCAATGGCTTCCTTGTTGTGAATGGGGTAGTTTAGTTCTGCTCCGTGTAGTTTCTTACTGAGGTAGGCGATAGGCTGTAAACCGCGTCCGTGATTCTGCATCAGTACTGCTCTGACTGCCTGGTCACTCGCATCTGCTTCCACCACATAGTCTTTGTCTGGATCCGGCAAGATGAAAACTGGCGCTGTAGTCAGTGCTGTCTGTAGCTGCTCCATGGCTTGCTGGTGAGGGGTATCCCACTTGTAGGGCGTATCCTTTTTCAGTAGGTCGGTCAGTGGCGCTGCTATCTTAGCGTACTGTGGCACGAACCTGTTGTAGTAGTTGGCGAAGCCTAGGAAGTGCTGCAACTCCTTCACATTCTCCGGAACTTTCCACTTCTTTATGGCTTCGATCTTCCGCGGGTCCACGTGTACGCCCTCGGCACTCACCATTTGCCCGAGAAACTTCACCTTCTTCAGGGCGAAATCGCTCTTCGACAGCTTCACGTAGAACTTGTTTTTCCGCAGGATCTCGAACACCTTCCGCAAATGCTCCACGTGCTCCTTCATGTTCTTGGAGTAGATGAGGATGTTGTCCAGGTACACCACCACGCACTCGTCCAGCAGGGGTCGTAAGATGTGATTCATCTCCGCGTGAAACGTTGCTGGTGCGTTGCAGAGTCCGAACGGCATCACCAAGTATTCGTAGGAGCCGTATCTGGTACGGAACGCCGTCTTGCGGATCGAGTTGTTCGCCATCTTGATCTGCGAGTAACCCGGCCGTAGGTCCAACTTCGAAAAGACTGTTGCACCACGCAGTTGGTCCAATAAGTCGTCGATGCGCGGAATGGGGTATTTATTTTTAACTCTCTGTTTGTTCAGTGCACGGTAGTCGATGCACATCCGTAAACTGCCGTCTAGTTTTGGAGTGAAAAGAACTGGTGCACCGTAGGGAGAGGTGGATGGGCGGATCAGTTGTTTGTCCAGTAGATACTCTATCTGTTTCTTCATGTCTCTCAGCTCGGTCGGACTCAGTCAGTATGGTGCACGTGAGACAGGTTTCACACCTGGTTCCTCCACGATCTCGTGCTTGTGGGTGCGTGCTGGAGGTACGCCTGTAGGTAGATCGTCGGGCTTTATATCCTTCTATTGCTCCAACACCTCCTTTACTACTGCAGGGAGCTCGGAACTCGGCTTCTCCTCCTCTGCTGCCTCCATGACCAGTGCTAGGTAACCAGGAATCACGCGAAGGTTCCGCGGGGCGCGTATCGTCCCGAATAGATCCTTACCGAATTCGGTAGAAGGCAATTTGGTGGCAACTGAAAAAAGCCAGAATTCGGTGCACGCAACCTAGCTCGGTGCTATAACTATAATAAAATATAGGAAAGCACCTAGCCTACGAAATCAAGCAATCCATGCATGCATATGATTATCCTATGCTAGAAATAGCATGATAAAGTAGAGGCAAGCAAGCATAGCTGGCATAAGCCGTCGTACTCTCACAGCAATGGCAATGGCAATGGCAACGGCAATGGCAATGGCAATGGCAATGGCAACGGCAACGGCAATGGCAACGGCAATGGCAATGGCA